AATATTTCACAATATATAATTACATATTGTTTTTATGATTAAACGCTATGCTTTAATTATGTTCAATTTATAGCAATAAAAATACATCCTGCATATCAGATATTTACATTACGGTTCATAACAGTAACAAAATTACAGATACATAGTAGCAATGAAAATAATTTTATGGTTGGGGGTCACCACAACATGAGGAACTGTATTAAAGGGTTGTGGCATTAGGAAGGTTGAGAACCAGTGCTTTAAACTCTTCTCACTCCATAGGAATGTGTAAGTACATCCATGTCCTATTGGCTCCATCTTCAGTGATCAAGAAAGTAGTAGGACTTAATTATGAACTACCCTTATTGTTACTGAAAGATAGACCTGACAGTCCTATCTTATAAACGAGGACAGAAACAGAGTCAATTTAAGAACTTATGGGACCATAATTGGTTTTCTAATTTTTTTGTGCGTAGAAAACTTGTTAAAACTTATTCAAAATGGTATTTCAGTCAGCTGAAATCAGTATGTGCAATTGAAAGACAACAGCTTTCCTCTACAGGACAGGAAAAAGTCTAAAAATTGCCTTCTACCTGAAAGGGGTTGTTAGATTCATTTTTGGTGACCAGAAAGGTACTTTTTCCTAGTCTATTCATTTTATTTTGTTACTGTGCTAGTTAGATATTTAGTTATATACGTATTCTTACATTTATATAAGCATGCTTTTTTGCAGTTAAGAAAGGCAAAATGTGGTTACCTGTTCACTTATTAAAATGTTATTTATATATACTAAGCTTCACCTAGCCAATTATTTTTGTCCAGTTGGTATCATAAAATAGAGAGTAACCGTTGGAAGGGACCTGGGAGGTCTTATAGTCCAAAGCATAGGGCTGTGAAAATTATACCATGAAATCAATAAAATCATCATTGTCTAAATTAAGATTGAGAATATAAGATCTTTTAATTACTGCTGAAATATTGACTCTTGCTGTAGCAATCCAGCCAGCATGATAAATGGGATGTTGGTCATTGTAATTCAACACCTGGAAGGGTATTACTTTCCTTTCTTCCATCTAGGAACTATGCTCCAGTGGATTTGAAGCTTCTATGAAGTCATCAAGGTCTATTGGCATACATTTGACAATAAGAAAGGACAGAAACACTTGTAGACTATAATAATTTTAGAATACCAGAGGTTGTCTCACTGCTTTTAGTCTTTTAATCTGTGTTAGACATACTGGTCCACTTTGGAACACAATTTTAAGTGTGAATTTAACAGTTCTACATCAATAACGAACAGATTTTACAATGATTGGATTGATTTTATTTTTGATAGAATTTAAATTCGGTGTGCTGGTTACAAATAAAAAGGAATTTTAAGCCTAAACATTTGTCTTAATTATCAGAACATTTCAGTAGGTCCAGTTTACCTTCTTTGTCCATAAGTCAGTAAGAGATCTTTAACACTGTCTTTTAACTAAAATGACATCTTCAGGAAAGATAACATCTCTTATAAATACTTCCTTTGAATCCCAGCCATGAATACATATTGTCTATTCTCATCCTCAGCTTAAATCAAATCAAAATGGATAAGGACAGGTGTTATTTCTGCACTTGCACTGGACATTAGAAAATTTTTGAAGATAGAATAAGAAGGCAAAATGGGATTGTGTCAGAGAAGAGCTAGACCGCTTGGGACAAGTAGTAGCGAATTTGTATGTTATCATATGTAATATCGATTTACTTGCACATGTAGTATTGGCAACTTTCTTTGAACTCACGTCCCCAAATAGCTTATATTTTCTGTCTGAATTAATAATTTATAGCTATTTCCTTAGGTTGAGCTTCAGACTTCCAAAGTTTAAAAATAGGTAAGGAGAATGTTCAAATCTAAACTGGAAAGCAATACAGTTGATGGATTTTCACTAAACATTATTACAAGCTGTTGGAATGTTTATCAGGTAAAAGTTGTCAACAGGATTAGAAAAGCTGTTCCCAATTACCAGTATTAGGTATGAATCTTTTCTATTAGATTTTTGCACAGAAATGTAATGAACAGCATAGGAAAATGAGCATCATGTGTTCCATGGTTCGATTGCTCCCATAATCTTTATAAAAACAAAAATGACAAAGCAACTAATGGAAGCATTGGCATTATATTTAAAATAAATGTGGATCAATAGTTGAAAGAAACATTGACTCTTTAATTGTGCTGTCTTAAAATTACTTTCTTTACAAGTGGAAGAGAAAGCAATGGCAAGCTCTTTCTAGATTGTTATCAAGAAACTATATGCACATAAAATCACCAGGAATCAAGCCCAACTATTTTTTTTGTTGAGTTAAATGTAATGAATAAAATATTTTTTTCTCAAAAAGTATTTGCTTTTTGTCTGATTAAGGCATTAAAATTGTCATTTCGGAACATTTAACTCGTATTTGTTAGAAAGCAAAGAATATTTGAGTTCTATGTTATTCTGAAAAAGCCCATGAAGATTGCTTGGTGACTGAAAGAATTCTTAGTTTTTAATGTACACATGTTCTCATTCATGTTCACATATTTAATGTTCTTCTTGCCTTTTACAGTGGATCAGCTGATCAAAGAAAATAGCCACATCTTCACTGATACCCAGTGCAAAGTATGTAGCGCAGTTCTCATCTCTGAATCCCAGAAGCTTGCTCATTATCAGGTATGATTTAAACTAGAAGTAGCTATTGAAATTGCTGATGTGTATATAAAAGCTCATGGGTGTGCTTAGTCTTCTTGTCCTCTGTTATCTTCCTTCAGAGTAAGAAGCATGCAAACAAAGTTCGGAGATACATGTCTATCCATGGGGAAGAGGAATTCTGTCAGAATAAGAAAATAAAGCTGGATACAGAGCAGGTAATACCAGAACTCCAAAAAAGAATAAGCACATCATACATTTATTATAATAGAAAATCTGCTGTGTGCATTCAGTGCAGCAAGTCTTGGCCAATAGTACAATGTTCCAGAGATAATTTTTGACATTGGGCATTGTTGCAAAAACATTGAATCCAGTCTTCGATGAAAATAAATTTAAGAAGCTTATTAGAAGACTACAATTCAGAGACAATTGTGAATTAATATTATTACAGAAACATATACATCTATTTTAAACTAAAGCTCTCTCTTGTTACATCATTTGTTTGATGATAAAATCCTACTAGTAAATTATTTCCATTTTACAACATTAGGCCTTACTTGAATAATTCTGAACTAACATCACTGTCTTGCTTTAAATAGAGGACAATATTTAGTAAAAAGTGGTGCTAACAGTTTCATTTAAGTTCCAGTTTCTGAACATGGGACATTTTGATATGCTTTCCATTTGTCCCTTCAATCCCAATAAATGTCTGTGTTCCTTTTTACAAGCAACAGAGCAGTAATGGTGAAGACAGGAACAAATGCTGTCCCATCTGTAACATGACCTTTTCTTCACCTGTTGTGGCTAATTCTCACTACTTAGGCAAGACTCATGCCAAGAATTTGAAACTGAAGCAGCAGTCTCCTAAAACAGAAGGTATGATCAGGAAAGGTAAAGAGGAGTTCTCTCCTGGCATTGTGGGAAAACCCGTCTAGGGTTTATATACATTATAGTACAAACACTATATCATCAGTCCCTGTCTCTACAAATAAGGTTCAAGTGTATATGTCTCTGTGTGTTTGTGTGCGTGTGTGTGTGTGTATGTATGTGTGTGTGTGTATATGTGTGTGTGTGTGTATGTATTTGTATGTATTTGTGTGTGTGTGTGTATATGTATGTATGTATGTATGTGTATATGTATATATATATATATATATATATGTATGTATGTGTATATGTATATATGCATGTATGTATGTGTGTGTAAGAACATTCAACCTTTATGCAAAATAGGAAAGGAATTTTCTGGCCTTAGGATAGTTCTGGTTTTATGAAAATATGCTTTTATCTTTCCTCTAATTTTTTGGTTTTTTATCTTTTGGATTATATTTGTAGCAGCTTTATCCATTCAGAAAGAGCCTAGTAATCTTCTTCCCACTACTGTGTCTGCTAATGAAGAGAATCAAAACGCTTCTGACCCAGACAAATTCTGCAATCTCTGCCATGCTACTTTCAATAATCCATTGATGGCAAAACAACACTATGTCGGCAAGAAACACAAAAAGCAGGAAACCAAGCTTAGGCTAATGGCACACTATGGGAGAACTCCCGAGCAACCAGCTGTTTCCAATGGTGAGTATTTTATAGAAGGCTTTCAGAATAAAGAACAGAATCATTTGTACATCTTCATAATGCCATAACTAACCTTTTATTTTGTTTTTCATGTTTTACATGATATTGGGATGCCTCAATTTTGTACAGGTAGTCCTTGACTTAGGAGCCCAAAATTTCTATTGCTAAGCAAGACATTTGTTAAGTGAATGCTGCTCCATTTTATGACCTTCCTTGCCACAACTGTTAAGTGAATCACTGCATCAGTTGCCAGAAGCCTATTGATTGTGTGATTGTGGGGATATTAGAATGGTCATAAGTATGAAAAACAATTATGTCTTATTTTTTAGTACCATTGTAACTTCGAATGATCACTAAATGAACTGTTGTAAATAGAGGACTACCTGTTTTATGTACATTATGAAACAAAATATACTCTTCTATTTTTCACAGTGGTTATATTCATGTGCAGAGTGATTAGGTTGGAACTGCTCCTTCTAGATAAGGAGAGAATTAGAAGAGACAGCCTGAAAATTCTGGGCTTGGGAAAAGAAGCCTCTTAGTTTCTCACAAATGCCTTTAAAATTCTCCCAAATCTGAAACTTGGACACTAAAAGGAAAGCAAGAGGGTTGAGGCCAATGCTAAGAGAGGCAACGGTGGGTGGCAGAATTCCTACATCTAATTCTTAATTTTTCATGAGCTGCAAAAATATGGCTTCATTGTTTATAGTGCTACAATCTAGTGTGGAAGGTTTTTGTTAGAAAGAAAATGAAGAAGAATGTATGTTCAATGTATCCAAAAAGAATAAATAAAAAGTGGGAAATGTAAATGTTGACAGTGATACAAATGATCCATACCATTACTATGAGTAGAAAGCATGTCAAAATAAGAATAACATTTGGTAGTTCAAAGTTAAACTAGAATTCAGAATTAAGCAAAATGATTCATGAAGTTGTAAGTAAAATAAAACAAGTGAATGAAGACTTAACAGTTGGCAAAATATACTTTTTAAGAACAGATTATAGAACTTGTTAGTAATTTGGATAAGAAATTCTTGGTAGCAACATGAGACTATCAATATAAAAGCAGAGTATCCTGATAGTCTGCCCATGTGACAGCTTAACTCAAAATGAATAGGAAAATCGTATATGGACCAGAAAGATAGACCTCTCAATATCAACGTGGTAAAAATAGCTTTTTAAAGAAATGTTTAAAAATAACTATGGCAAGTAAAACAATAGACTAGTGAATGGAATTTCAATCTGATCCAAGCACAGCATTTAATTCTGTCATTTGGAGAATTCTTCCAAAAGGTTTATTCTAGCCTCCTATTAACTGTCTATTATAATATTGAAGTTTCATAGGAACATACCTTAGACAATGATTCTCATCTACCCCATCCTGAAATGTTTCCAGGCAGAGAACTTAACTTCAATTTGTTTCTCCTCTTATCTGATAAGACCCAAATATATCCTCACTGATTGCCCAGTGTTGTGCCTCTGTACGTGTGGTTTATCTTACTTCAAGTTGGAGATTCTGATTCATTTGTTTGTATTCCTGCAACTCCCTACTTGCTTTGCAGAGATCTGTAATGCAATTATCATCCTAACTATCCATTAAGTGTTTGTTTTTACAGATAGTTCTTGATTTACGACTACTCAATCTTGTGAGTGCCATTAATACCACAAATATCTTCTTCCCAAATATTTATCTTTGTTTATCCCTCTTTTCATTTTAAGTATAGATAGCACTCGATTATGAAGGCAGTTGAGACAAAAATTTCTGTCACTGAGTGATATGGCTATAAAGCAAGATGTCACACGACCACATTGCTTGGCAACAACAATCCTGGATGGAGGGTTGGGTTGGATGGATGGGTGGAAAATAGATTAGATTGATTCATAATTGAGTGTTATTGGGGTTCATAGCAGGGGAAATAGCAACCTAGAGGAGCATTATTTAAAAGCTTTCATAATGAGAATTTTAGGTAATTGTCCAATCTGCAATTTCCATTCTGTTGATTTTAAAAATGGCTGGTCCTGTTAATCATTCAGAAACATACCACATTTTAATGATTTTCATAGATGTTTTAAGAATCAGCATTTTATCTGTTGCCATTCTTCATTCTTTTCCTCTGGAATGGGAAGAGGACCTTTATATATTTCTTGCCTTTAAAATTATTATAATTCCCAGGTGATCTGACAGATGTGTCTTTTTTGGCCTTTTTCAAACATTCATTAAAAACTACATGGCAAAGTATTCATTTGAGTATGTTGCTTGCAATTCTTTCTAAGGAAAATATTTCTAACATAACTTAATTAACCAGAAACAGATGAATTGCAAAATATAATACTTCAATTTGGAACAGTGTGTTTATGTCACATTCCATTTAATAGTTTTTTAACAACAACAAATGTTCATTTTCCTTCTGGTATAGTTTAAGGATCTGAGAAAGAGAGTTATGCAAAAAAAATAGCTCTGCCGGAGGAGTTCTACAGTTTTTAGAAAAGAATCATGCTTCAGGAGATCAATTAATTCCCATTATTATTATTTTTTAATATCATTGCAATCATAGTGGGCTCAGAACAGCTCTTTGAAAGGCAGTAATGTTAATCTCCTCTCAAGATGCCTTTTTCCAGATTGAACACACCCACGCCACAGTAAAAAAAATTGTTTGAAAGCATACATTTAAATCCTGAAAACAGCACATCATTAATGTTCAAATTAAGTTTGAACTCCCTGCAGATGCTATAATTAAAAAATAGCAAAGTTGAATATATAACCATATCTCTGCTCTGTTGTGTAAATTAAACTGACAATGACTATGACACTGCTTAGAATTCCTAGCATTACAGTACATAGAGTCATTGTGAATGCCTCTTTACGGTTAATTATATCGACTTGGCTCTTTAATTCAGTTAATTTGATGCTCAAATTTTGTGATATTTTCAGCTGCAAAGGGATATCCCTGCAATGACTGTAACATAGTACTGAATTCTATAGAGCAGTATCAAGCTCATATCAGTGGCTTCAAACACAAGAATCAGTAAGTGCTTTATTTTTTTTATCTAAAATAACAGATGTAATTTTCAGACGTGACCACTGAATTGTGTTAATGTTTAGTGATATATAATGCTTGGTGGTAATAAAGGTTTTTCATCCCTTTATTAAATTGAATTAATATGCTTTCCTTTTAGAAGTCGCATAGTTTAATATTCCTAAAAAAATGTTCCTCGTGTCTAGCAACCATAATTATAATGCTGTGAATGGAAATTTTGCTATTTACTCTATCCTTGGAAATTCACTCTGCCTTAGCCCAGCTGTGTCAAACCCCACAGAAAAACAAATTATGAAGCATTCAGAAAAAATATATTCTTAATCGGCAGGTTACATTGCTTCATTCTTTCAGATAACTTCAATATTTTCTGGTTTAAATTGTTCTCCACTCTGCTGATAGAGTGGTTTTTCTTTTAAAAATATGGGGTTTTTATTTATGTTTGCTGATTTATGTATCTGCAAGTTGCCAAAATATGTACAAGGGAAAATAAGCAGTGAGGACATACACGTACATTCAGCATTAAGCTGGTATTTCTTTATTCTCTGAATTGAATTTCTGTTGTCACATCATCTTTTGTGCCTGCCCTAAATTTGCTCCCAATGCTCTGGCGAGGACCAAGACGGACCTAGAAAGGTAGGAGGCGCGCCTCGCAGCCCAACACCACCCACCTCACCCCAATGGTAAAGGCAGCCTGCCTGGTTCCCTTCCCCGGTGTCCCTTTAGCGAAGGATGGCAGGCGGCGAGAAAGAAGCGAGGCGGGCCTTTTACCTTTCTAGCTCCGTTGTGTTCCACCCCCTGTCTTTCCCTTCCATGCAAAAAGCCCGCCAAAAAAACAGCGGCAGGCGAAGCAAAGTACTTCCACCCCCCGCCTTTCCCTCCTGAGCAAAGACCCTGCCGCAAAAAGAGCTACAGGCCAGCAATGCGATCACCCCCTCCCGCCTGTTCTTTCTCGCACAAAAAACACCCACCATCACACCAGCCTGCCTGGTTCCCTTCCCCGCTGTCCCTTTAGCGAGGGGTGGCAGGTGGGGAGGGAGCCTCGCTTCTAGATTCACACCTTTGGCTTTTGCTTGCCTCCTAACCCTCCCCTGCCTTTGGAATGCTTGAGTGTTGCTTATTGTATTTACTGTACCTGACCAATCAAGTACATTCCTCACACACTCTGCCCATGTGGCTATCCCAAGTCCCATGGCATTCACATCACACCTCTTCTGCTGCTTGTGCAGCCTTCCCAAGTTTCCCTTGCACTGTCTCAATGGACATTTGTGCACCCTTCCCATCCACCAGCAGCCACCCCAAGCCCTGTTGCACTTGCATCCTTCTGCCCCCACTATTAATGCAACCTTATGTTATCTCTCTGAGCCTTATACTCCTGCCCCATCTCCCCAGCCAACTGTGAACCTCTCGCTTCCTCTCCCACCAGGCAGTAGGCATTTATCTGCCTGTTAGCCTGCTTGGGAGCTGCTTGGGACTTGCAGCTTCCTGCTGGAATTCCCACTTTGGTTGTTGGAAGCCAGCAGAAAGTTTTGAAAAGGTGCTCACAACAATAGCAACAGGGACTGCAGGAATTGCTGTTGCTGAGCAATGCAATCACATGATGTCACCCTGCATTGCTTAGTGACTGAAAAAATTTGGTCCCAATTGCCACTGTAAGTCAAGGACTACCTGTAAAGTAGAGAAACTGCTATTGCTAAAGAACTCACGAATCTGTAAATAAATGTCTTCAGTTTCCCCAAGTGAATCCATTTCTAATCCTCTGAAGCTAGTTGTCTCAGAACAATTCAGTTGAATAGTTTTGGTGTTCTATTTGTATCAGCCAATGGGAGAGCTGCTTATTTGGGCAGAATTTGTTTTAGAATATTTCACATAGAACCAAGCAAATAATAACATTAAGTAATGGCAAGCTGCTTAATTGAGGAAATCACATTCTATGAAAACTCTGTTGGTGTACACTTTCTGTGAAACCTAAGTGGAGAATTTTTTTTTCAAAGAATCATAAACCACATGCTCATTTTTGGATCCCCATAATTCCTTTCTTTTATGCCATTGAAATTTGGCAGTTTCCTACTAGAAACCAACTGCATGCCTTTTTCATTGTTTTTAGGCTTGCCGATTAAGCAATCAATGTAACTCTTAAAAAAAAAAACCACTTTCCTGCAAAAGCCAGAAATCCTATTTTTGCTCAGTTACGTGAGATGTTGTAGCTGCTACTACTTCACATCACTATTGAAGTTCTTATGCCAAAAAAAAACATTTCAGGACAGAATAAGTACACAAAGGTGGTTCATTCTGCCATAGAAATTCTGCTCAGGATAGTATCCTATTGTTTTTTCTGACTGTTGAGGGCAAGAAATTCTGTTCTGTCCTAATAGATTAGGTTGTTGTTATTATTATCTCTTTTTGAAGGATTACCCAAATTATTAATTTACTGAGTTAAATCCGTAACATTGCACGCTACAGTTGGTTTTAGGTAAACTGATTAAAAATCACTTCTTTCACAATATAATAAATTTCACTAAGCACTAAGTGAGTGCTGAGGGCTGGTAATGCACCAGTCAGCCAATTGTTGTAGCAATTGTTCAGCTTTGCTGACAAATCCAGTCCGCTAAATATCAAGCTGTTATATGCAAAGTTAAAGTTTCTGGTTTATAGTTTTAGTTGGGTTGAAGAGGCTTTATGCCAAAAGTTTGCAATATTTTTTCTCAGGTATATCTATGCTCATTTTATCACACAGTCCCACTTAAAATTTATAGAACAATTTTTTAACATGAAATTGCATGTGCTCTTTTGAAGTGGCTCCTTCTGGAATCTTGTGAAATTTTTCAAGATCTTTTTTTTTCTTGATTTAAACACAGCTTCCAGGAGGCAGATATGTACAATGTATAGATTGAGCTAACGTTGTCCCTTCCCTTCCCCACTCCCCAGCATACCAGGAGGCATTCCTGTAACAGCACGATTCCAGAAACAACTGTACACACGAGAGGAAACGACCATCCCTGATGGCCCCAGCTATTTCAGCCAGGACGTCTAGAGCAAAGTGCTGTGCTTGTCTTTGGATTGCTCGTGGCTCAAAAGTGAACCCTTTTGCCAGCCTGCTACGATATTAGTTCTAGTAACTAAAAGAGATCCTCCTGGTCTGCAGTGTACAGGTTTAGCTGATCCAGAACCAACTATTGGCTAAAGGATTTAGAAGGGACATCATTACTACTTGGCATTTGCTCAGTCCTTTAGAGTAGTTTTCATTGTGTAATCTCTTACTGTAATAGCAGATGGGGGTGGGTGGGATGTGGGGTTCTCTCGGGACCCATCAAGGCTTGGCATTTGCTGGGATTCCATCTTGAGCCCATCCTTCCCTTCTGCCTAGAAGACGCAGAAAGGAGTCCTACAACACAGGAACAGCCAGAGGAGATCGACCCTAGGAAGAAAGATATTTAATTCATGATAACACGAGGCTTGTTATCTAGGAGACATGGAATGGATGTAATCGACAGACTAACTATCCTTGCTTAGAATGGGGTGTTGTATTCATCTTGCCCCTGCTGGAATTAATAGGGTTTGTGTGCAGTTTCTTAAGTCATCCATTTTGCCATTCATAACTACTTTGTATTTCAGCAGATGTTGGCTTTGGAGCAACTGGTGGTCTGTTCAGTAAAAAAATCTTTGTTAGTAGTATGCATAATCAACTTCAGAAACACAAGAAGGAGGGGACTCTGGTGCAAATAGTGATGCCTCCCTAAAGCTCCACTCTTTCTGTTCCTGGCATTCTTCTTCTGGAAACTGTAATGTGTTTGAACTTATGTGTATACCAAGTTTTTTATGTTAAATATGTTAATGAGAAATCATTGGATGTGGTGATGGAGGCTCTTAATTTTTGTTCTTTAAGGCATTCTTACAGACAGAAATAAATTGAGAGAACCCAGAAGCTGCATTTTTATTATCGAGTGAAAGTGGTGTTTGTAGGTGAACCTTCCCTGAGGCATATTTTATTCTTGGTAGTGTCAGCTCTCTCATTTCTTTGTAACTGTCCTAAAGCTTAGATATTGGATGATGTGTTTTAGAGGCATCTGTTCTCTAATATTTCTGTTGTCGTCTTGCTGATAAATTTCTAGAACATAGGAGGGAATTCTACTTAAGTTGATTTGGTTGCATGTTTTCTTTAGAAAAGAAAGAAGTATAATCAGTTCTGCTAATATTAGATTCTTTCCCTGTGCATGTAAAAATGGAGAACTGTCAATATCCACACTTGTTAGAGTATCATAAGATAGTAGCCACTTTATGTACCCCACCCTTAAAGCTACCCCTATTTAAAACCAGCTAACAAATGTTCAGCTTCAAATGAAGCAGAATTTTATAAGACACTGTCACTTTAGAGGTTCTTTGATCAGTAGCTTATTTAATCTACAATCTTCATAATGAACAGGAAGACCATGTCCTATCTAGGTAATTGATTTCTAGGTCCTGCAGAGTCTTTCCTATTATCATTTAATCTTCCTAAATGAAGCAAATTGGCAAGAAATGGGTATGAAAATTGGGGTATACTACCTTCTATTTTATATAGTGGCAGGTCACGTGAATTTGCATCCCCTTCTGATTGAGTGAGAGTATTGCCTGGCATTTTTTACCTTTTTGGGTAGTCTATTTCCACTGGCATTATTTGTGATATTGAAATACATAAATATTATATATATATGTTCACTGGCATATATATATATATATATATATATATATATATATATATATATATATATATATATATATATATATATATATATATATATATATATATATATATATATATATATATATATATATATGTTAATATGTGTGTATGCACACATTCCCTTTTAGTCCATTGTGTGTTTTTTTTTAAAGAAAATTTAAAAGAATCTTATCTTTGTGTCTACTTTTCCAGCTGAACTATTATGGTAAAGTTCAAAGTAGACCAGAAGGACTTTTTTTCGTATAATGATTTGTTTCTATTGATTATCATACTTGGCAAACCCCTTCTGCTGTTTTCTTTGGGCATAAATTATTCTCTACCACTTTTGCCCAATTCAAGCAATTATTTTAAAAACTCTGTTTACATTCATGACTTCTTATTTACTTAAGTGTTCTGAGGTTGCATCTCATTATTTCCAGTAAATTCAGAAGTGAGCCTCCCTTCTTTCCCTCAAAATATAGTTTATTTTTACAAGAAAAAAGGAGTGATAGGATTTAAATAATATTGTGTGTAAATCTGTGATAAATATATACACATAGATACTTTCTCATGACAGTTTTCCTGTGAATAATCCTTCAAATATTATCTTCTGACTTTTGGTGGTTATGTGTACATTAACATTAATTTTCTTCTTTCTCAGCATTTAAGTTTTCTGTTTTGGCATTCTCATTCTCTAGCATCTTGTGCACTATTTGAGACTTGGTCTGTGATATGCCTAGTGAGCTTTCACAGTCTGCATTGTAAAGTTTTGGAGATTATGGTTGCCTGTATAAACTTTTGACTTTAGAATTTTATTTCTATTGTATATTGAATTATTGAATCATTTTGCAGTTGCTCAGTGTTGATAATTTTGGCAAATGCAAGGGTGAATAAGTAGTCTGCTACTTCAATAAAGTGATTAATATTTTGGTCCAGACTAAGTACAAATGGGACAAGGTAAATTCGTGAGTTACAATTAACCTTTTGCCTATTTTCTCTTTTTTAAATAGCCAGGCATCCTTTTTCTTATTTTAGAGATTAAAGAATTGTTTTTGTATTCATAGCAAGTGTATGTGTTACTTGTATAATATTTGTACTTTGGAAAAATTATTCCCATCAAGGGCTGGGTTTCAAAATCACAATTCTGCACATACATCAAATATTGCTATATGAATCAATATCATAAATTTAGAATATTTAGGAAAAGTTTGGGACAGAAGCTTGTGACAGGCTTCATTCTTATATTTAAACCAAAAAACCATTCATACAGACTTAAGTACCATCTTCTACCATTTTTGATATAGCACTAGGCATATACAGACTATTTACTGCTCTGAACAATATGTATATAGTGTTATGGTATGAGTAGATAACTGTTTTATTCATTCATTTGAATGAATAATTCTAAAAAAATGGGGATCAGATGAAATAAATCTAGATGGGTATTAATTTGGAAATATCTGTTGCTAAAACTGTATTTTACTGTGTAAGCTTAACAATATAGAATATCATTGCTTGCCAGACTTGTGAAAATTAATTTTATCCTGTCAAATAGCACCTTAGTCATCATAATCTAGATGATAAAAGCAGTGGGTAAAATTAATTTAGGAAACTGAAATATTCCTTAATAATCTGTTAATGCAGAATTAATTTTTAAAATTAATGTTTTTTCTGAAGACACTTGCCTCCCACTCAGAAGGTTGAGAAATTCAATCCTAGGCAGTGACAGATGTTTCTATATCCGGATGCAAAGAAAAAACCTCATCTGCGAGCTCCACATAGGCATCAGGAAGGGCATCCAGCCAGTAAACGCTCAGCTCCATTCAGTCGCCCCGACTCCATCCCAAAGCAAAGCTCAGGGTTGTAAAAAGGGGGAGGGGGATTTCCCTTAATTATTGTATAGCAGAATCAGAATCATGAAAGTTTGTAAATAGCTGGTCAGGCTTATAGTGGGTGTTGTATGTGAAAGAATAATGTATAGTCTATCTGCACTTTGCAACTAGTCATATGGTCCCTCCTGATTAAAATCTCCTTTATAAACATAGTTAAAATTGGATCCAGGGAGGGGGAGGAACCGACCAGATGGTTCCGCCCCAGGCGACTTATGGACCCCTTGAGGTTCCAGACGGAGC